TTAGCACATTAATGCACTTTGTTTCCTTGTTGTAAAGCTGCAGTTTTGCTTACCTACCTTATAGAAGAGCAGTTGTGCTCTGCACAGTCCTTTGAAAGAGCTATAGATCTTGTTCAGTCTCAAGTATTGCAGCTACCCCACAAAGCACATGGGCAACAGTGGGGACATTTAAACGCTTCAGCACAGTGGCTGAGTTTCCAAGGGCATACACTAAGGGGGTTAATGCCACATCACATGTTGAGAAAATCAGTCAGATTTGGTCCAGGACTCCAGAAAATAGTTCATTTTTTGTATTTTCATCCAGTAGAAATAATTTAAAATAACAACATTTTCTATACACAAAGTGACTGTATCTTTTCTGGATGAATACTTACTCTGAATAAACCTCACTTATACCAAAAAAGAAAATCTTCAAGAGTGCATGCTGTTGTCACAAATCACACTGCTGCAGTCTCTCAGCATTCTGGCTACCATAAGCATATAAAGTGGCAGCATTCATAAAGCCAAAACCCATGAGGGCTGGTTACCTGTGGTTTTGAACATTTCAGGGGAGGTTTATTTGTGTGATACCTGTAGCTTCAGCATAATGGCATTTGGCTGGTCAAGAAAATCTGCATGTTAAACTCACAAGTAGTTTTTTGTTACTTGTGCCAAGATCTGTGGAAAATAAAGATTAAAATAGCACAACTATTATATAACTGGACATTTATGTAAATTCACCAAGGGGTATTTGCCATTCAAGTCTGTGGAAGACCCAGATTCTCCCTCTGCTGAGCTGTAGTAAGTTCAGCCAAATGGGGAATCCATTACAACACTGGGTCATGTTGAGCTCTTGAATTTTGGCAGCTCATCATCTTTAATGCTTGCCTGGAGGAGTCAGCACCCAGAAAAAAACTGCTTTTAACTTTACAGTTTTTGCTGTTGACATTGCTGAGATCAGTGAGAACTGCCCATGTTGTTTGCTTACCTCTCCCCCATGAGCCCCTGGGAATGGACATGGAAAACCACAAGAATCTGTGGGCCCATTCAGGTATTTCTCATCATCTGTACTTCTCTGTTTAAAAACATCAGTCCCCAGGCAGAGATGTCATGAGTATTGCTCATCACCACAGGCAAAAGCTCAGGCAGAGGCTTATCAGGGAGTGAGAGAAGATGCTCCCTGCAGTGTGGTGGTCGCTTGGTACCTCTGACAGCTGGCTGGGAGCTGGAACTCACTCCCCTAGACTCTAGTGGTCCTCTGGGAGGACCTCATGCTGAGCATCTGGTTATGGCTGTGAGCTCCGGAAAGGCCGTTCCTCCCGCTTAGAACTTTCATTTGTAATCTGCTTTGTGATTTTTTTCCATGTATGTTGAATGCTGGAGTCTGTTTTGTTTGCTGGAGAGAACAGGAAACTGTTTTCAATGAGGTGCTGCTGCCAAGAAGTTGTATTCCTAGGAAAGCAAGCCCCAAGCCTACTAGTGTTTATTTTCAACAACACTCTTTAGCAGATTTCCCTGGTCATAAAAATGCTGGTATTAATTCCATCTTGCTGCCTAAAATGTGTGTGTTTGCTGGAGGCATCTTTTTTAGCGAGTCAGTTGCTTTTTGATTTATAGGGTTTATTTTATGCTACACTGCAGTTGCTGGCAATCTATTTTTTTCCTCAGATAATGGTGTTTGGAGGAGCCTCTGTGACCTTCATTCTGCTGGTTGTATTGTTGGGACCATTGTCTTGGCTTGCTTTTTGTTTGCTTACGCTCAAGGAAACATTTTGCGTGAAGAGGAAGGCAGGTAAGCAGTTTTTATTTTCCCCTGCATGAATTTAGCACACCAGGCCATCTCCTTCTGGTGGTCACCTTGCTAAACTTTATTTGCTGGGCTGCTGCAGTGAGTGCTCTTCATCTAGGGGAATCAAACTGAGGAGGAGGGACCATAGTGCTCCAAACCAGCGATTTGTTGGACAAAAGAGCTAAAGGGAGAGTGAATAGTTGTGGTTGCTTGCCTGATTATGGCAGTTAGATTTAATTGGGGGCAGTTCTGGCTTTCAAAGACCAGGGCACTAGCACAGTGAAACAACTTTGTGTTCTCTTGCTGGAGCTGTAGGGATGGGAACTAATGTTTTAAAAACTCTTGAGATGATACCATATGCATGTTTATCTGGCATGGGCTGCCGAGTCCTCTGAACTGCCAGGGATTGAGGGGGCGGGAGGATTTCTCACCTGGACATTCAGTTGTTGCCTAAAGTAGGTGCTTGCACAGTATTGAGGTGAAGCATTGGCTGCTACTGCGGCTGCTTACGGCCTGGAATACTGGGATGCTGCTTTGCTCTGTGTTAATGAGGGAAATGTGCTGTGGAATATAAGTTTAGCAGCGGAACAAAAAGTGGAAGCAGGAATTTCTGCAGCTGTATGGCTGGGTCATGTGTGTTTGTAGATTTGTAGTGGCAAGCAAAGTTACTCCGTGTAAATACCTTTATAATTATAAACCTAGTAAAATATACTGAACTTCTCCAAAGGAGCAGACACTACTGTTTTGGAGGAAAAATTTGTATTTTTTAAAAGTAAACATCTGCTTGTATTATTTTCTGATCTGTTTTTTTGTTTGGCTTTTTAGAGAGTTGTTTGGTCTGGTGATTATTACAATATGGATGAGTCTTTGTCGCAGTTCAGCAAAGTAAGTTTTGTTTCTTTTTTTTTTTTAATCCATTCATATGTTCACATTTAGTGACTAGCTTCTTGAAAACACAGTTGATTTTGGCTGCTTGTTTTTCTGCTTCATGTCACTGTCTGAACCTCCTCAGATACTTAAGCAGCAGTAGCTGGTGCTTCAGCCTGTAGGATCTTACACAGATAAAAGTCTGAGGGGAAAAGTAAAGCTACACGAAACATTTTTTCTGCTCCCCCTGCCATAATAGGCAGCGGACATTCTCCCTTTGCATAAGGACAGCATGCCCCTTCTGTGAACAGGCTAGTGAGTGTTGGCCACAACTGCTAATGAACTGCAAGGACATTTCTGCCATTGTTCCCAATTTACAGAACTTTCCAGTGAGGGTCTCTGTACTGGTGCCTGCTGCATCCACCGGAGCAGGCGGGGGATGCAGGCGGAGCGGGCAGAAGTCTCGGGTTGGCTGCCTGGCTGCAGTGGCTCCACACTTTTCCCCGACAGCCTCTTCAGAGGACTGTGCTACAGCAGTTTTGCTAGATTCCTGTTAGCTGGGAGCATGAAAAATCCCAATCTGCCAAACAGTACCTTTGTGCTGGGAAAACATGCCACAGATGCTCTGGTCAAGCAGGGTGCTTTTTTTTTTCACCTGGTTTATTTGGCATGAGGTGGCAGAAAAACTTTCTCTGCTGGCATCTGGTGCCTCTCCAGTAAAAGACTCTGCTGATGCACCCACAGGAGCTACATTAAAGTGGCCAAAGGCTCTCTGCTGTCTGTCCAACTGCAGCCAGGTGTGAATGTTTCGTAGCAGTCTGATCTGAAGCAGCCCTGTTGCATTTGCTTTATAGGAGTCCACTGGGTGGAGTTTGCTTGATTGCTGCAATCGTGGTTGCCCTCTTCCCCTTTCTTTTGTGGCTGTACGTTTATGTGAACAAAGAGATGCGAGCATCCTGGCCAACGCACTGTAAAACGGTGATTTAATTGGGAGGGAGAAAGTATAGAATATTCTGATCTTACTTGCCTTTGCTTTTGGTTCTTAATGAAAGGTTAGTATCAGTTTGATAGGACCCAAGAATGCCTGGCTGCTTCCAGCAGTGCGGTTTGAGATGTGTTAAAAAAATTGAGGAACACTGTAAAATCTGAGTGGAGAATTTTTCTATGGAAACTGTTGTTCAGCTGGCTTCTCCATATATTTTCAAAGCACTGTTGATCTAATGTGTTTTCTAATGGTATATTCAAGATATCCTGGCATCCCCGGATCACCCTCCAACCACCTTGTACTTTGGGAAATCTACTGTTCTGTAACATAAGGGAAAAGTAAAGCAAACACTTTGTTTCAATAACTGACTATTTACAGCTGTAAAACTTCCAGATATCTGCCTGGATAGTCCACTGATACTAACTGAAAAATTGAGCAGTCTGTATTTCTGTTCCTATGCTAAAATCACATGTAGAATATATCTGAAGAAATATTTTCACTATTATCTTTAACTGAAAATTACTGGGTTTAGAGAGTAATAAATACTATTTTTCTAAAGAAAATGAAAGCTTCTGTATCTTTTATTTTCTGAGATGTGTACTCAAGACTGCCACCAGCAGACCTGGTCACTCTCACAACTCTGCTTCTCGCAATTTCTGTTCCTGGAAAGCAGAACCCACACAGCAGCCCAGCGACAGTAAGAATGTTCCACTGCTACTAATCCTGGAGAAGGAAGCACAGGTGAATACACTGGACACACAAGCTGGCTGGGAGAGAGAGCCAGAGCAGGTCCAGATGCAGCACAGCAACATGCTTTAGATCATTCCACGTCAGGGCTTCTTTGCTCAGTACTGCTGCATGCTAATACAGCTGTACACATGTAGAGCCCAGTGGGTGTATCTGCAGCATTACATGACATAGCATAGATAGTCTCCATTTTCCTTGGACTTAGCTTTTTTTGAAGATTACTTCAGTCTTTTAAAGCAATGTTATGGAGACTGCATTAGGCTATGGGGTGGATTAACTCTGCAAGACATGAGACATTACTGACTATGATGTTTTAAAAAAAAAAAATTAAATGTGGCTGGGCAGGTACAATTCTACATGTTTTAATTCTGACTGGTACAAAAAAGTGGTGTTTTTGGACAATATTCATAATATGGTTTGCATTTTTTCATAGTAAGTAACAATCTGGTCAGGATTGGGTGTTTCAAGTCAACATTCTGCATTCAAGATATTTATTTCAAAAATGGCCTTCTCTCTTCTGCACAAAGAAACTAGGTCTGTTTTCTTACAGAAACATGATTTCTAAAATGTTTGAGTTAAAGCTATAAGGATCAGCCACGCACATCTTTCTACAAGCAAATAATAAGCTGAAGCCCCTGCTTTTTTGTCTGAGTACTTCCTGAAGAACAACAATTTGTATTGGGTGACAATTTTCAGAAATGCATAACTCTGTCTGAAATTCTGCCCCTTCCCTTTAGTATCATTTTGTGTTCATAGACATAAATAGTTCCAAAGGCATTGCTTTCCGGTGGAGTTTCAATAACCCCCTCCAAAGTCAGATGATGAACTCCATGAGAGTCTAAACAATAGCCACCGTCATGCAGGTGCCCTGCAAGAAAGCAGACCACGCACTCATGGGAGTGTATGACTGAAAGGGCATCTTCGTAATTCCAGGCTAGGCAAACTCTGTCTGAAGCATCTGGATGAATGGGCAGATGACCTGCAGTTGAGAGGGAAAGAAGCAGGAAAATTATTTTAAGTGTGACCAAACTCTGCCTTCATTGCTGGGAAGTTCAGACACCTAACTGTAAACAGAAAGTTCACCCAAGTGTGAGACATGGTTGCTATGCTCCTACTTCATAGGTTACATGTGTACCTCAGTGGAGCTTCAAAGCTGCTACATGTTTTCCTCAGTTAACACACATTGGCTACATAAGTTTTTTTGCATATATAGAATTACAGAATGCTTTGGGTTGGAAGGGACCTTTAGAGGTCATCTAGCCCAAACCCCCTGCACTAAGCAGGGACAGCTTTAACTAGATCAGGTTGCTCAGAGCCCCGTCCAACTTGACCTTGAATGTTTCCAGGGATGGGGCCTCCACTACCTCTCTGGGCAACCTGTTCCAGTGCTTCACCACCCTCATTGTAAAAAATTTCCTTATATCCAGTCTAAATCTACTCTTCTTTAGTTTAAATCTGTTATTCCTTGTCCTGTCACAACAGGCCTTATTAAAAAGATTCTCCCCATCTTTCCTGTAGGCCCCCTTTAAGTATTGGAAGGTCGCAATAAGGTCTCCTCGCAGCCTTCTCTTCTCTAGGCTGAACAACCCCAACTCTCTCAGCCTGGCCTCATAGGAGAGGTGTTCCAGCCCTTGGATCATTTTTGTGGCCCTCCTCTGGACCCGCTCCAACAGGTCCATGTCCTTGTGCTGAGGGCTCCAGAGCTGGACGCAGTACTCCAGGTGAGGTCTCACCAGAGCAGAGCAGAGGGGCAGAATCACCTCCCTCGACATGCTGGCCATGCTTCTTTTGATGCAGCCCAGGATATGGTTGGCTTTCTGGGCTGCAAGCGCACATTGTTGGCTCATGTCCAGCTTTTCATCTACCAAATATCCCCATATATCCCCCATATCCACCTACCCATAACTACAACTTTTTCTTGGTTTTCATCAGAGAACTTGAGGACTTCATTGAACCAGTTCAGCTGGGCTTGGCTAAATCCTCCATTAAACTCTACAAACCGAGGTTCTTTGAGTCCTGCAATGAACAAGGTTAGTCATAGGTGCATACACCTCTCGTGGCTCCCCTATTTTCTTGCCTTACGATAGATGATTTACTCTTATAACCTTTTTTTTTTTGCATGTCTTGGATCAAAACTCCAGCCTGCTTGGACAAACAAGAGAACATTATTTGTTAGTATTTTGGGGGGTTTTGGTCACACTGCACGCACAGGATTTCCACTCTTGGGTCCCCCTGGCATAGGATAGGGTGGGCATCACTCGATGCTCTGCAATAGCGGCTGCACCAACAGCTGCCTTTCATTCTGATACTGCAGGGCACATAGCGCAAAATAAACCCATCCCAAAAGCACCAGAGCAGCATGATGGGCATGGTGGAACATCTCCTGTGCCCGCCTAGAGACCCAGTGACTGGCTCTCAGCTGACAGCAGGGAGGTGGAGGAGGTGGGCAGAAATGGGGCACATGCCTCAGCCCTCTGGCAACCAGATGTCAGCCCAGGGAGCTGCCTTATCACTCTGGGAAGAAGAGGGTCAGCTGTCCATGCTCCCTGCTGAAGGGTGGAGCAGGGGGGTACCTGTGGGGCTGTTGAGGTTGTCGTTGGAGTTCTTCTCCCGCAGCAGCCGCAGGGACTCCTGGTAACGGGGGCTGTCTGGCTCCCTGCCCAGGATGCTCAGATCATAGGCATCAAGCACGACAATGCGGAACCGTGCAGCTGGGCTGAAGTGATAGGCCTGGCAGTCCCCAGCTGACAGGCTGGCCATGGCCTCAGCAGGACGGCTGTTGAGGCCAGTGTGCACCAGGCGGGCTCGGCTGAAGTTATAGAACTCGTGGTTGCCCCATGCGTGATGCACTGGCACCGGCAGCTGCCCCAGCGCTGCCAGCACCTGCTCCAAGGCACTCTCGGCCTCGCCGCTGCGGGCATTGAGGCCATCGATGCTGTCACCCAGCTGCAACACGAAGGCGAGCGGCGGCCTCTCAGTGGCCCAC